CCGCCGATGCTGAAGGGAGCTACAAACAGTGATCCCATCCAAAAGTGAGTCAGGTCTCGCTTTGGGGTGCAGCGTCGGCTAATGTCAATGCCCCTCAAATGGTTTTGTTGTGGAAGTTGCAGGTCTGCAACGGTAGTGCGGTCTCCCACGTGAGGAAAAGCAGTCAGCTGTGGCTGGTAAGCGCAGCCCTGGTCACATGACCAGGGAGGCCTGTGCTGGTGCCGCCCAAGTCACCCTGACCCCAGATAGAAAAGGGCAGCCAAGCGTCACCAAGAGGTGGAGCGCTGGTGCCGGGAGAGAACTCTGGAATCACCTGGGGACAAATCGGATTGAGAGAAAGGCAGGCGGCCTTGCCGCGTGGTGTCCGTACAGGAGCGGGCGTGTGGGGGTGTCAGCTGAAGGTGCCCCTGAGGCTGCGGGCTGGGAGTGGGGCCGGGGTCAGAGAATCCACCACCACTTTCTCGTCCAGGTTGGAAACAGCGAGGAAAAGAGCTCTTTAATTGAATTTTCAGAAAGCCAGACATATAAACAAGACAAATAAATACTAAATTAAACTCAAGCTGCAGAAAGCCTATACAGGCAGTAACTGGGAACATTCACGTCACAAAGCTCGTCAGCCGCCATCTATATCCAGACCCTAGGTGGTCACCACGTTCTTGACCTCAGAGCGGGCTAGTCGGCTGGCTTTTACTATAGGCTTCACTAGGAAGCGACCTTCTCCAGGACTGTGCTCATCAGAGCCATCCTTCTTCAAGCAACTGACAGCATCTGAAACGACGGCTGTCACAGGCCTGAAACAGACTTGCTTCCAAAGTCGGACTCCGCTTGGTTAGTTCCAAAAGGGGCTTCAGCCTGGCCGCCTCCCTCCCCAGTGCTGCTGGTCAGGCAGCTAGCTGTGTGAGTCTCCGCTCTGGTTCCAGGTGGAGGGGATGGCTGGCCACTGTTTGTCCCCAGTTGCCCTCCAGCTCCAAGGGGTGACAGCTAGCTGCTGTTGAAGTGAGTCAGGTCCTTTCCTTAGCAGTTGGTCGACCAGCCAGGCCACCCTGGGATTCGATGGTGGCCTCACGTTGGGCACGTTGCAGCCGTGCATGCCAGGCCTCGCCTGGCCAGCTGCCCGGCACTGGACCCCGTCCAAGCAATGGCTCAAAGACTCAGACATCCCTCCCGCAGGCCTTCAGTCATCTCCCTGCTTTCGTACAAGAGCCCCACTTGGGTCTTGAGCCTCCGGGCACATCTGTGGCCAGCTCACACCGTGGGCCCCCACCCAGAGCGCTGTCGTTGCGTCCAGTCCGATGAGAGCCCATCACCAAGGCTCCTTAAAATATCGTGATTTCAACATCTGCCTCCTGGCCAAAGACGTCTCTTTGCGGGGAGTTCATTTTGTCCATCTTCTCAAAAGCTAAGCGCCCTTTTTCACCTGAAATAGTAAGGTCCCCAGTCACTGGGCTGCCCTCTGGGGGCCTGGGGTGTCCTCTGCAGGCCACAACAAAGACTTCAGTGAGCGGAACCTACCTGTTCCCACCTGGCAGGCTGGCTTGGGCCCAGGGCCTCCCCCCACACACCTGGCCTTCCTCCACTCAGGTCTGAAGTGTGAGCAGGAAATAGAGCACCCTTCCACCTCCCACGTGGAAGAAGCCTGCCCTGGCCAGACTGCAGCCACCAGCAGGCTGCCTCCTGCCCCACACGTTCATTGCAGGCGCCCTGAGCTTGACAGATTGACAGCCCTCTCGCAAGCAAGCCTGTCGGCGCCACTCTCCAACAGCAGGGGCTTTGGCGCCTGTGTCACACTGGTCCTCACCCTCCTTCAAACACCCATGATGCCCATACTGCGCACGTTCAGACTACAGTGTCGGCAGAGCTGCTAAATGCAGTGGGAAACCAGAAGACAGGGCCCGATCTGCAATTTCACTGTCTCCGGCAGGTCTGCTGTAGGCAGGCAGGGGCTGGCTGTTAGGGCCCCAGGACCACCCACAGGGCAGCACCTTACCAAAGGACAGTGTGGTCTCCCTCGCTGCCGCCCGCACTGCCTCCAGGTCCGACTGGCACAAGTTGGCTATCTGGTCGATGCTTTCCACACCCTGCATGTGAGGTTGGGGTGAAGGGGATGTTTGTTTTCCAAAGATAGCCTTCACTTGGCTAAGCTGGCCGAGACCAGTCCTAGCACGGTCCCTAGCTGGGGTCCCTGCCCCCATCTCCCAGGGTTCCTGTGGGACAGCTTCACCGGAGACTCGGCTGGCAGAACTTGTCACTGGGCTGCCTCTGCAGCACTGGCTGGGAAACCAGGCATGTATGTGCCTCTGCCTGGCTCACCACCCTGACCTCTCTGTGTCCAGCTCAGATGTGAGAGGCCTGGCCTTTCCGGGCTGCAGGGCCAGGGCAGAGGTCCCCTCGGGTCTCTCTGCGGCCCCTACCCTACCAACTATTTCATTGTCACCAGATGGTCCTTGGAAGATTTCTTGGTGACTTACTCCAAAATGAATGGGAGGAGTTTAATCTGTAGTGCACTATTAGCCATGGAGCAAACGCAGTGCTTTTTAAAAACAAACATTTTTTAATGAGAATTCCAGGTGTAGGTGACAGATGCAAGGTAACGTTTTGGAGAGTCTAGCCAAAGGAAATAACCCTAACTGATACTGTTGAAAACGGTATGAGTGTAAAGATGCACAGAATGACAGGGACAACAGTAGCTGTGGTTTCTAAACTAGGTGCAACGCGTGGTCTGACTTAATTGGTCCGAAAGCACTTCCAGTCCAACACCCAGGGTTCTTATTTTGTTCCCTGGTACCCACTGCATGCTCACAAAGAAAGACAAGACATCATTCCATAGTACTTGCTGCTGAGTGCCAAGGTTCTGGGCAGCTTGCTTTTACATTCAAATCCACGTTTGTAAATAATGGCTTTGTACTTTTTACAAGTTTTTTCTTTCTAATGGAACATATTGGCATATGTATTACCAGAGCCCAGAAGTGGGTCTGTGGGCCACCTGCTGGCTCCCTGCCATCCCCCAGAGCCTGGAGGTAGTTTGGCATCCTGGCACAAGTAGGTGCTCCCTGGATATTTGTTGAGAGACTCTCCGCTCTGGGTCCCCGTGGATGGAGCTGAGAGCTGCTCCGCTGAGAAGTTTGTGTGTGTGTGTGATATTCCAATGACCTCAACATTGTGAAACCAAAACCCACTGCCCTTTGAGTAGATTCTGACAGCAACCCTACAGGACAGGGTAGACTAACTCTTTATGGGAAGATCCAGCCTCGCTTTCTCCCAGCAGGTGGGCTTAACCCACTGGCCTTGAAGTCAGTACCCCCACCTGGGCCACAGTGCACCTTCTGAAAGGCCCAGCAGAGAGGCCAGGCCATGGCACAAAGCAGACTGGTGCCTTGTTTGGGCACTAGTGATGAGAGTCCGCTCGCAGAGAAGGGGCGCCCATGTTTGGGGGTTGTAGCATTCGATGTCTGAGCACAGGTGCCCAGGGGCTGCCTGCTGTCTGGCTGCAAACTCTAATTCCACCACTTACGGTCTGTGACTCAGCAGGCCCCTTCCTTTCCTCAAGCCTCTCAGCCTCACCCATCAGATGGGAAGACTTGTACTGTTCTCACCGCAGAGTCCAGTAAACCTGTGGTCGATGGTGTTGATGCCCACCCACAGCACCCCCGTGTGTTTCAGAGGGGAACTGCACCCCAGAGGGTTTTCAAGGGTTGTGCTTTTTTTGGGGCAGTTGCTGGGTTTCTTCCCCCTTTTTGGTCCCAGTGGAATCATTTCGAAAATGGATTCTAACGTTAACCACGAGGCAGCTCCTCGGCCTGTCACTAGCAAAGAGGAGGGTGACTTACCTTGAGGTGTCTGAGCGCTATGCAGGCAGCCTGCTGGAGCTTGGGGTCTGTCTCCGTCAGTGCATCCGTGTAAAAGCACACAGCCTGGGGAAGAGAGGGGCGGGCACTAGGGGGCAGCAAGAGTGGAGGCCAAGTTCAGGGAGCTTCTGGAGCTGCCCTCTCCCTGAACAGGGCAGTCAGGAGATGTCAGGTCCCCTCAGAACTGCGCCCTGCGCCATTGCTTTCAGACCAGCCGTGGAACATTGGCTCCAAGCCTGGCTTCGCTCTAAAGGATGGCAATCCAGTCAGGAGAGGTTTGCTTCTCTCATCAGTATCTCACAAACGCATCCTAAAAACTGCCACTTACAGATAACGCTAAGATCAGGGCCATCCAGCCTGTGGAACGGGAGAATTGCGCCACCACCACCCTCCACTGACAGGTCGAAGACAGGCGAGGCTGCTGCCTGGGACCTTCCTCTCCTCCCCTCACCAGCCTCTCCCAGCACAGTGCCAGCCCGTCCTGACCAGCCACAGGGTCATGGCCACGGCCCTCCTCGGGCCTCGAACAAAATGGAAAACTGGGCACCTGCTTCACACATAGTGGGCGTGTGCCTGGTCCACGGGCGAGCCCAGCTGCCATGACCACAAGGGAGGGGCCTAGGGGAGGACTGGGGTCCGCACCTGGCACCTTCAACTGTCAGAGTGAGCAGCCAGTGCCCACCACATCCCCCCCCAGCCAGGGGACGGCTGCCCTTCCTTCCCAGTGGGCAGCTCTTGGCAGAGAACTGTCCCGAG